ATACCTGTGTTCTACACCAACCGTTCATGATAGCATAGGTACACTTTGTACTAAATTCACCCCCCCTGGATTGGAAGGAGATCCCCAGGCCCCGTACGGGGGGCCCTTTAAAAAAAAAAATTATAAACTTTCAATTTTCGTAGTTAGACCACCGTGAACTCTTTTACTCCTCTAGATACCATTGTAGAAAGTGTGGAAACTTTGTCTTGACATTTCGTCTAAAAGAAACCCTATAAAAATGTTTAGGAGGGGAAAATTTGAGATAAGAAAATAAAATTGTGAACAATGACAGTATTATCATTAAAATATGACAAAAAGTAAATCAGAGGATTCAGAGAATATTGATATACTAGTATAGTTCCACACGGAATTTGGAGTGACTCGACTCCAATAAAAACCTTTTTCCCCCGGGGGAGGGTTTTCTCTCTTTCGGGAAGGGAAGGAAGGGGTGACCCACCAAATCTTTCGGGGAGAAAATTTAAAGGGCAATTCGGTATTCGGAAATCGGAATTGGTTTTTAACGGGGAATTATTGTTGTCTTTTAGCCCGGGTTGACAAGGGAATGTTGATTTTTCTTTGTGTCGGGAGCTTTTTGGTTGGAACGGCCGGGTTTACAACATTGCCGAGGGGAAAATACCAAAATGACGTTATATTATTCTGGAACCTTTTTTGCCCCGGCCAAGGGCCCACCGGGAGGAGGGGAATTCGTTGAAGAATTCAGGGGGGGGGGGGGGTGATCAAGGAATTGTTTAATTTTTTTTTTTTTGTTGAGGGGAAAGTTTCTTAACCAACCTGGTTTATTTGGTGCAAACTTTTTCTTGGGGTGCAAATGCGAGCCCCCCAAACACACAAAGTTCCTTTTTTGACAGGGAACCCCCCGGTTCCCTTTTTTTTTGGGGGTCCGGTTTGTGGGGACCAAAAAAAATTTAATAAAAAACGCTTATATTTAAGGAAAAGGGAAGGGAAAAAAAAAAAAAAATTTTACTTTTTTTTCAAATAGGGCAAGTTTCAGGGGGGGGGGGGGCCTTTGGCCTTTGGATTGCCTTGCTTTTCGACTTGGGCCCTTTGGTGGGGGGGTTTTGTTTTTGGAGAAAAAAGCAAAAAAGGAGGGGTTAAATGGTTCGGGTTAGGGGTGGGGGGTTTGTTTCGCAAATTTTTTCGCCCTTTTTCCCCGTGGGCTTTTTCGCTGTTTACGGGGTCCTTTAAAGTTTACCCCTTTTAACTTTGGTGGTCATGCCACACCGTGTGATTTAGTTTTTAAGCAGAGGTTGAGTTCAATAATTTGTACGGCCCTCGGAGGATGTTGTAAAAATTGAAAGGAAAAAGGTTCCCCACCCCTGCTGTAAATAATAATAAAAACCCTTGATTTATAACTTAACTCCTCTGTCTCCTATTGATCTGAGTATATTATAAAGAATAGCCAGTTAATTGAAGCATTATAGCACAGGCCTTTGTCAGATGGTATATTACGCTGTTTTTTTCCTGCTTCGAATAGTTCTCTCTTTTTTCACCATACCTGTGTTTGCATCACTGATTTATACCTCATTTATACCTCATCCCTCACAACCACCCAGACGAATGTCCCTAGTACGGCCTTTAGAACTCACATGTCTTCTTCATCCTCGTTTTTTGACTAGGAGTGGGAGGCCTACGTCACCGACTCAGACTCCGACGGTGAAGGCAGAAGCTCTTGGGCGGACATCTTGTCACCGGAGGAGAAGGAGCGGCAGCGTCGGGAGAGGGAGGAGTCCCGCCGCGTCCTGTCGGAGCTCAAATCTGTGCTGGGCTTCCGTGCTTCAGAGGGGGAGAGGATGAAGAGGAAGCAGATGCTCTTCAACGACCAAGGTCTGCACTGACCTGTGTCACCTCATGTTTAAAGATGAGGACATGAGAGTTTGGCTTGTGGTGATTTAGCTTGTATTGTTTTGGGGATTCTTTTTATATGTGTTGTCAAACTAATCACACAAAACAAATCCTAAATGTAAAATAATCAATGTTTTCCACTGGTTCCACAATGTCACAAATTCTCGAAAAACTACTAAAACTTGAATCAGGGGCCTAACTTATTTTTTTCTTCGTCTTACTTGCAGCTGCTTTAACGCCTTCAGGTCGCACTGAGAGTTCAGAACCTGTCACAGAGGCGGCAGACACTCTGGGATCTGTAGAAAGTGGCGATGAAGAAGAAGAAGAAGAAGAAGAAAAAAACCACTTTTCAGAGTGCTCTGCAGGAAGCGAAGGGGAGGAAAGGGAGGAAGGAGAAGTAGGCAGGGTGGGGCCTGACCCGTCCGCAGAGCCACTGACGGAGTTCAGCTGTGGTCCGGAGAAGGAAGGGGATTTGGGAGGGGCTTCAGTGTGCACGAGAGGAGGAGGAGGAGCGTCCGAGCTGCACCAATACGACGGCCTGCTGGAGGGAGGGGAGGGCCACAACGGGCTGGACTGCTTCCTGGAGACCAAAGTCCCCGCTGTGTCCGTCATGGACAGGCTGACGGAGCTCCATGGCTCCGAGGCTCTGAGCTTCAGCTCCGCCCTCGCCGCTCAGGTGGCGGCGCGCTCACAGACGCTCATCGCCATGAAGGAGCAGACATTCGGAGACGACGATGACGAGGATGAAGAGGAGGATGAAGAGGAGAGCAACAGGCGAACCCCTGACAAGGACTTAAATTAAAAAATGCTGCTTTATCCAAACACTGAGCAGAGACTGTATTTATGTCGGATTGTCTTCTATCGTGTTACATTACTGTTTCTGGTGTGGAGGCATTTCAAATACTCCCCCATCCGTCCATTTTCCTGTTCATTACCCGCTGTTAAAACTCAGGTACAAGAACTACTAATACGAAATAAGATCATCCAGTGTCAGAAGACCAGATTGTCTAGATGGCTTGGTGCCTTCTTCGGTAGGTGTTGAAACAAAGATGTAGGAACAAGATTTTCTCCATACCCGAAAAAAGGGTGTAATATTAGCCTCTTTGAGAGGAGAAACGGTTTTATTTGCTGGTTCAAAAGCAGTCCAATCTGAGTTTCTGTCTGGACGTTGTTGGCAGGAGGCTTTGAAAGTCTGAGATACAGTGGTACTTCTTGTGTTCACAAAGTTTGATGAAAATCTACAATGTAAAACTACTTTGTTACTTGAAAAGATCTTTAACTCCGAATTTAACTTAATCTAAATGTTGCCAACAAAATGTAGTTACAGTCTCAAAAGTACTCATAAACCCATTTCAAACAAACTTTAAAACAATGTTTTTTCAGGATTGCAATACTTGATTTAATGAACTTTCTACTCCTGCAGTTTGTACACTGAATGTTTTTGCGTGAAGAAACGCGCAGTCCAAAATTCAAGTTCATGAAAACGACACAAGGAAGCAGCAGGAAGTTGAAGTTGGGCTGCACAATATGAGGAAAAGATGCAATCATTTAGTTGAATATTGCAATAATTATATTAATTCCTATAAATAATAATAAATGACTTAACTGCTAATACGCAACAAATTACTTGTTGAATTAAAAAAGACAAGTATGCATTTTTGAATAAATTGAAGTCAAAGGAAAAGACACCAGTACAAAAATAATAGTGTTTGTATTTTAAGGGCAGTTTTTCCCTGATACTCTCTTTAAACTATGCATAGAAATCCCTGGGGGAATTTCGCATATCGTCTTTACGGCGTGTTCATCTCCCAAATTGTCAGTAACAATAACAAAAAAAACTATATATTGTGCAGCCCTACTCTGCTGAACTTAATTCTTAGTCAAATTGGAAACAATGCTTTCCATGTATTCGCACTCCTTTTTTTAACACACCACTATTGTATTGAACTATTAATGAAGACAAAAAGTGTTCAGTGTTTACAGGGGCAAGCTCGGAGGATAGACTTGTTTTGACTTGAGACTTTATGGACTGAACGCTCTGCTGCTGTGAGGCTTAAATTTAAATACCTGTGGGTATAGTAATAAAAAAGGAGGTTGATTTTCTCATGTGAGGGCAATCTTAAACTTTGTTTCATATGAAGAGCCTGACAGCCCTGATGTTTCCCTCCCCACTCCTCACCCTTCCTTGTCTTTCTTGTCACCAAGTCTGCCTTGTCCTGACCCTTCCCTCACCCTCTCCTCCTCTCTCTGGGTGAGGTCGACCCCCTCCTGCATTTTCCGAAATGAAATAAAATACCATTCTGGAAGTGTTCGATGTATCCCGAAGTCTTTTCTGACGCTCATGTTTCCGAGGCTCTCAGGCTTTGTGAAAGAGAAACAGGTTGGCTGAGTTACTTGATCTGTTTTGTGGGATTTTGCATTTGTCTCACCCACAGCAGCTGCTGCTCCACTTTAAAGCAGTTCCTGCCTTTGGAGACCTAAACAAAGACCTCATGGACTAAAGACTTAACATGTAAGTGCCCCAGTTATGGGATTGCATTCACCTAAGAAGGGAAACAACATATTTCAGTAACTCTACCCTTTGAGATTTAAGTTGGGCAATCAACTCATAAGACTAAAGCCGTCCACACTGAAAATGTCCTCTGTACAAATGTGCATCCTCTGGCATAAATGCTTCTAAACATAAATAATTACACACCTATATTAAAGAAATCATTTTATTCGATTATTTACTGTTATAGCTTTGCCACCTAGTGGTCAGTGGTGGGACTGACAGATGCTTCTAGCAATATTGAAGGATGTTTTTTAGGAGATGTTTTTGTGTAAAAATTACTTTGTATAACATATATATAATGTTAGACACGGTTTTTGAGTTGATAGTTATTTTGCTCAAAGGTCACGTCTTTTTTTAATTTATTTTTGCTTGGTAAATGTTGCACTTAAATATTTAAAATGTACATAAGAGGTATTATTTTGTGATTAGTGCATTTAATCGGTTTATTTATGTTCGTCATAGGTTATTCCCTCACTAGGATCACTATTCAGTGCACAGGCTCCCATTCAGCTGATTCAGCATGTTTTACTTTGTGCTGCCTTCAGGTTCTCACATCAAGCTCCGATTTCAGGACTAATATATTTAGAAGTCAAGTAATAAAGTGGGATTTAAAAATGCGTAAAAAGCACGTTTTGATTGTTATACGTATGTAACAATAAATTCACACGTAATTGTTAGAGTATATATCGTTCTTACGTGATTAATGTTCTTAAATGTTTGACAAAAAAAGCTAAACCGTTATTTTCCTTATTTGAAAATGTAACCCTAAGCAGAAGAGAACATGTATTTTAAAAACATTTATAACCGAGTGTCCCTGAAGGCAGCTCGACACAATGCACTCCCACAGTGCCTTGCGCTTCCTTTTCCAGCAGCGCCTGTGATCATGGCGGACGTGGTGGCGGAGCAGGTAGCGGAGGAGAAACCCGTCCCTGAACGGGAGCTGAACGGGGAGGCGGAGGAAATTGAGGAGGCCGAGCCCGTGGGGGAAGCAGCGAAAAAGAAGAAGAAAAAGAAGAAGAAGAACAAATCTGCAACGACAGGTGAGGCCGGCTCAGTTAGGAGCTAACAGACTAGCAGAGCTAATGTTACTTATTAGCAAGTAGTCGAGCTAAGTTAGCCGCAGTTACCCGTCCAGAACACGGAAGTGACGGAAAGGTGCCTTCAAATTAAAGGCTGACACAAGTCCTATGGAAAACGTTTGTCTTGTTATTTTTAATGGATTGAATGGTGAAAGGTTATTGACTTGAATACAAAATGTAAGACGCTTTTTTTTTAAAGTTATTTGGGGAAATGTGAATTTTTGTGGAAGGCACATTTCATTGGGTACGATGAGTCATAACAGATTGACAAAAAACATGGTGTTATCTCTTTCTTCACTACAGTTAGAGAAATGTAGCGAATATCAGAGAACCTGAATATATTTTTCTTGTCCATGGAGACACTCATTAATGGCATATTTATGTTTTTGTATTACTTCAACTTTAATTAATATCAAATTTTAGACAACAAAAAAAATCAGTAAGAAACAATCTCTAATAAACGCCAGATCAAAGATACAATAGTTTTAATAAAACGACGAGCACTGACTACTATTCATTTGTTTAAATAATAATAATACAACAGTATTTAAAAAAATAAGGTAAATCCAAATAATAGTAGTGACCACATAATAATCCTTATACGAGAGTTCTAACTATAACTAGATTAAAAATAATGTTGGTAAGATTTTCAATCTCTAAGTATTGCTAGTCATACCTTGCATGCCATTTATTGTATTTGTAATCATTTCGTATAGATCCCTCTCCAAAATGTAACGTTTATTTTGAAATTCACGCCGGAAGTGCAGTCTTGGAACATGTGTGACTTGACGGTGCTTCTCATTAGCCATGCGGGTTGAGGGCAGTGTGGGTGGTGTGTTGCTGTCAGGCCTTATAAAACACGCCGGGCTTCTGCCAGGAACCGTGACTTTTAACACTGCTGATACTCAAAGTACTTGACAGCTTGTTTTGATGATAACACAATCATCTGCTTATCTAACTGACCCTTTTTAGTTACTGTTTTCCTCGCCGACCGCAATGAGCCTCAGCCAAGTTTTTCTGTTTCGTAATTCCTCGTTTGCCAGAGTTGTTATGTCATACTTCACCCGATGAATCTCTAAATAAATCAACCACATCAAAACTTACACACCTTTGATAACAACACACTTACAGAGCAAACTCAATTAAAAGACCTGCTATATCGAGATATATTACAAAATGTTTAATGTGCAGAGCTTACAGAAAAAAAAATAGGAACATTTAAAACAATTTTTATAATATTTTGTAAATGCTTTTGTTATATAACAAAATATTTAGAAATAATAATTACCAAAAAACCTATTTGTCGTCGGAAAAATAATTGCTTGATCGACAAAAAAATCTATCGCCTATGACATATATGGATAACTTAGGCTTTTCTTTGTTTTTATATCACATTCAACTCTTTATCTTTGGGTGTAGGAATGACAAAACAAGACATTTTTTAAGAAATTACCTTGGAATTTGATTAAAGGTCCCATGTCATGCTTTTCCGGTTATTACCCTTCCCCTTGTGTGTTATGTAGCTTTTATGCATGTAAACCGTCTGCAGAGTCACAAACCCTCAAAGTACACCCTGTAGCGAGTAAAACTCTAACACAGAAAATACCTGTCCCAGAATGTCTCGTTGGAGATTTCTCTTTTTCTTCCTGGGTACTTTACAGTGACGTGCCCATATCCAAATGGACCCATTGGTCCCAATGGACCAATCCGTGGAGCCGTTACGTCCGCGGAGCCGTTACGTTAACGCTCACACACACACACACTCAATCTTTTCTCAGCTGCAGCTCCGCCGATTTCTCCTCCCTGAGATGGCGGGACGCGGCGAGGCTGCGGGTGTGTGTGTGTGTTCGGGCTGGGTTTCGCTGTGTCTCGCAGACGGCCACTGGGCTCACAGGGAGGGGG